CGATTTGGAAATAAAATGAGCACTTTTGAGTTCTATGATTTTTTAGTGCAGTTGAGTGCATTGAGGAATGTGCCCACGCTTTTGATTCACTTGCCCGTAGGCAATAAACAGAGATGGCGATTAATAGTATGGGTTCAATACTAAAGTAAAAACGTTGTTATGATAGCCTTCAGAGCGCGTGCGTTGTAAAGGTAGCCCATAAATCATGACCAATTTTATGAGGAATAGATGAAGAATGGCTTCTATTAATTACAGTAGTAAAATAGTGCATAAATAAACCTCTGCCAATTCGGGGGAAACCGGGAAGTTTTGGGTGTAGCCGGAAATTAGGATAGAAATCTTTCGCCGCTGTCCAGTTACTCTTGGATGCTTCGGCGAAAGGAAAATCGAAAGCAGAGGATGTACTGTTTCCGCCTGAAGAGCAAGCTACCATGGAAAGTGCGCAGTGTGAGCTCCAGGAAATAGTTTGACTTCTGCATCTCAGAGTCCATCYGACTGAAAATCACAGTAAGSAACTGCAAGTTCATCTGATTTTTGAAAAAAAAAAATGGTGTCAAAATGAAGCCATARCAAAAACACCCTTTAAAGCGTTTGTCACACGCATGAATGTCTGTCGAAATTGAAATTTTCGCTTTCGTGTTTCATTCTTTTATTCATTGTCAATCACTGACAAACGTGATTTGCATTTTGTTCGTGGCAGCTTCCCGAAAAGGTCGGTTTTCAATATATAAGAGCTCAATAGAATGCTTTGTTTTCTCAAGATTACGTTAAAGCTGTACCTTTTTTCCAACTAGGCTCAATGTTTTTCAGGTCTCGGATCACATCTGATAACCAAAAAAAACTTATGACTTCCGTATCTTTTCCCCAGTAACTTTCGAACCCATTATGGACAATGCTATGGTACCGTCAGATTTGACTAAAATAAACCTTGAATAGTTATGTTATACAATGTACTGCGTGTTGTCTCTTTATTTCCGTCTTGGCAATTTATTCTTTGAATGCACTGAGAAATTATATTTTTTTCAAATTGC